TATTTATAATGTTTATATGGATCCCTGATGGGTAAAAGCCTCCTCCAACTTTGACCAGTGCTACAAGACGTAAAATCTTTAGTTGTATTGTTATGAAATTGATTGCGTGATTGCAGTGCATGTCATGTTATTGTGTTCGCATAGTGTCTGAATATGCACATGCAGTGATCACAATAAAGGTTTCGTCATCCGATAATTGACACGGCAGGCGACGGATGACCGCTAAACGGTCCTATCCTTTGCGTATGGTCCAAGTGACAAAAGACAAACACTTTGTAATTTTTCCAAAAAAATTAAAGCTCTGTTCTTTAAGTAGTTATAATACCAAATAATCGATAATAACTGTTGAAACAATTGTAAAAATAATCATCTGTGTTGATTCTCTTTAACAGAACATAGACAATACGTGGACTAAGTGGAAATTCACGATATGGGAATAGTTAAAAACACACTATTACGTGGTATTACACATGTTCAGTATTAATAATAATCCCCAAACAAAGACAACTTAATGATTAATTGTTTCAATGTATATCGCGGTTTATTGTAAGGGTAATATTTACTGCAGCGGTTTAACTACTAATTTAATCGTATAATTTATATCTTATGACTTGCACCACCGGAGGTCTCGTGTCTACCCACGTTATGTTACCGACTGCAAGAACTTTTAAACAAATTTAACTTAGTTAACTTTATTACCCTTATTACTCAATGCAATTAATAAAATTTAATTAAAAATGTCTTACAAGTGTACTCTACCATCAGTCTGGCAAAAACTATTTAAAGATAACATGTACAAGTTAAAGTATAAGTCATATTGAACATGAATCAATTTAATTGCATCTTGTTATTCTAATACGGACAACTGCGGCCATCTTTTGACGTCAAACGAAAACGTTACCAGTTTTATTTATGAACCAATCACCTTTTGCATCAATCAAACCTCAAGTTGAGTTGACTCGAGAATAATAAACTGTCTTATTCATACTTTGCTATCTTTATCTATACTAATATAATAAAGCGTAAACACACACTACTTTGTGGCGTAAGATGTCAGCAATCACAGCATATTTTTAAATAACTCTTTCTTTAATAAAATGCCCTACACTTACGACACGCGACACGTTTAGGATATATATTTTTACTCTATTATACTTAAGGGGTAAATAAATTGGAAAAACTCGTCATGTGGGAAAGAGACCATAAACTACGAGGAGCCATTGTCAAAGAAACAAGATTGCCATGGTACGAATTGTTGTCATTGTTGCATTTGAATTTTGACATTTGCAATAGAATTTGATAAATGTAAACAATAAAATATTGTCGCAAGGGAACATTTAGTACATAGATAATCTTTAATGTCATGCATATTAAAGACGAGCTGTGGCCCGGAAACTTCGTTAGCGCGGATTTTATATGGTCGTCTATAACATTCCTGCGTGCATCATCTATCTTCCAAACAAAGTTCCGTCAAAATCGGCCCACCCGTTTCGGAGATAACCCGGAACAAACGCGGCTTGTGGACACACAAATAGGCATTACGATGTTGTCTTTACTGTCACTACTGTAAGTTACAGTGGTAGTGCCCGCTTTAACATCTTAGCACGAATGGGCCGGCACGCCCGGTATAATACCACGACCACA